CCAGGGAAGCCCCCCCCCCCAGCCTGCTGGCTTCTCCGGTGACGTGGGCTCATCGCGGCAGGGCGCTCACTGCAGACAGGCGCAACCTCACCTCTGCCCTTCGCCTCTGCCCGCCACGCCGTCCTGCCGCGCTCTGGTCTCAGCCTCAGGGGCCTCAGCACCAAGGGGGAGTCCCGGCCCCGCCCCCTTTACCATGGTAAATACCTCAAAAGACCGTAAATGTGTTCGGAAGAAATTACAGCCAATGGAGAAGCCATGTGCGGAGGCCTTGGGTTAAGAAGCGTCACACATGAACGACCATCATGGCCACTCACGCTCCGGACTGCCCCGGGTGGGGCGGGGGCTCCCGCCTGCCTGTCCTGCCTGTGTGCCGTGGGCGCCGCCCCACCGTCCCCGGGCCCCGGCAGGTGTTTCCGTGCCGTGGGGACCGCGCTGGGCCTGCCCCGTGACCGCTCTGGAGAGCAGGTGTCCGCCCTGCCTCCTCTGACCGCCTGATGGCCCAGCGACGGGGCCAGGAGAGGCCTGCGGGGACCTGCCACCTGCCACCTGCCACCCCTGCCTCAGGGTCTGGGACGTGAAGAGACGCCGGATTCCCCGTCTCACGGTGCCGCCTCTCCAGCAGGAGCCGGAAAAGTTGTGCGTTTCTGTTTCCAGTGCTCAACAGGAGAGCAGGGGAAGCGACCCGAGGGAGCAGAGGGTGACCTGGAAGACTTCCTGGAGGAGGTGATCTCTGAGAATTCAAATGGGCAGAGAGTCCTGGGAAGAAAGCAGCCTGCGCCAGACCGCAGGGTTTGGACAGCTGCAGGCCGTCTGGGGAATCCCCTTCATCAGCTTTTCGTGCTGGCAGGGCACCACGCCAGTGCCGGGGACGGAGGGAACAGACCGCTGGCCTGGGGGGCTGGCGCCCTTGTGAGCGCAGACTGCAGGCAGGCCGGGCGGAGACTATCGGAGGTAAGTCAGGGGCGCTGGGCCCGGGGAGCAGGACGGACGGGGAGGCCGTCTCCTGAGCCGGGAGGAGTGGGGGGGTGTCCACAGAGGCAGGGAGCAGCAGGCCCCCGAGGATGGGCGGTGGCAGAGTGGCCCAGGGAAAGCCAGGCGTGCAGTTAGGCTGGAGCAGGAGGAGGGCACAGGTGAGCAGCACCTGCCAGCAGACGCTGGGACACCTTGGGAGGGCCTTGACCCCAGTGGTGGCCCCACGAGCCCACCTGTGCTTCTGAGCAGTCACCCTGACCGTGGGACCTGGACCAGGACCACACAGCCCGGGCTAAGCTTGTCCGGAGGCCAGATTGGACGGCCCGGACCAAGTACCCCGGGGGCCCCAAGTCTCCACCCGCCGGGCAGCTGGGCCCGTCCTCAACCGAGAAACGGCAACTACCGGCCCTGGGAGGGCGGCCAGGGCAGTGCAAGTTCACACCTTCCCTGAGGGGGCACGGAACATCCTGGAGAGCTGGACATGGTCTGTGATCCATCTCTAGAGGCTCATCCAGTTGGAGTGTTTTCTCTTTTGGGGGCCATGTGTCAGCAGATTGTTTTCTTTTAGCACATGTGTTTCACCAGCGACCTTTTGTGCAGAAGAGAGTGGGAGGGGACACAAGGAAGCCCACTTGGGAGTGACCTGGCTCCCGCCCCCCAAGCCCCCCATCCTATGCCTCAGCGGGTCCAGAGGCGTGTGCCCGCCCCTGCCACACGTGCACTCCTGTGCTTACAGCAGGGTGCAGAGGAAGGCCCTCCCTCCAGCCCGGGAATTCCCCCATGCTCCTGTCGGAAGGCTCAAGCACTGCAATTGGAGCAGGCTTTTTAGGGTACCCCACAGTCTGCTCTGGGGAGTGGAGGCTCAGCACGGTCATGGTTATGGCCTAGGACCCCTAAAAGAACCAAGTTCTAATTCTAAACGAGCCAAGACCAGCCCAGAGCCAGCGTCTCCCTAATTCGAAAATGCTCAGCACTGCCCAGGGTGCAAGTGCAGAGGGTCTCACGGTTGTGGGGGGCTGAGTATCGTGGACAGCTGACCCCGAGGACAGCAGGAGCACCTGAGGCTCATGCTTCATGCTCTGGCAGATGCCACTGAGCCCAGAGGCCAGCCCCAGCAGGTGCAGTTGTGCACCTGAGCCAGCTCCGGCACCTCGCTGCACATCTCAGAATGATGACCCGGCTCCTAACTAAGGGTGGTGAGGGTGAGCCAGTCTTTGCATTGCTGCAGACCAGGCAGGAAGCTGCTGCAGGCAGGACTGTCCCATGTAGAGAAGCAGAAACACACCTGGTGTGCTGGGGATGCCGGACCCCAGATGCAGACAGTCCCAGGGACGGGTCTTGGTGGCCACGGGTTGAGCTGGGAGGAGGAGCTGGCAGAAGAGCACTGCAATTGGAGAAGGCAAAGCCAAGGTCAGAGTTCAAGGCTGGGCCAGAACAGGGAGCAGAAGGAAGAGCTTGACTGGGGCTGGCAACGGCCCGCCTCCTCCAGGGGGCCATCGGCAGGTGCGGCGTTTGTGTGTCCTCAAATCTCTTTACCCCTCGTTTGACTGAGGCTATTTCCCTGAATAATGTTGAGACTATGGAAGACACTTCCTAAAATTAATTTATATGTCCTGTAGTACTGCAGTCCCCAACCCCCAGGCTGCGGACTGGTACCGGCCCATGCATGGCCTGTGAGGAACCGGGCCACGCAGCAGGAGGTGAGTGGCGGGTGAGCAAAGAAACCTCCATGGGTGTTTCCAGCTGCTCCCGTGGCTCTCATCGCCAGGTGAGCCCCGCCCCTGTCAGATCAGCCGCGGCCTTCGATTCTCATCTAGCGCCTTGCTATTTGTACCACCTGTTCTTTTATCCCCCCTTTTTAGATTAATTAGTTTTTACAATTCCATTTTATCCCCATTTCTGGCTTAACGTGTGCCGTGAACGTTGTACGGTGCTGCTATTTTTATTTAAACAGCCAATTCTATTTTAAAGTGATCCATATAGTGAGGGATGTCGATGGATGTGCCCACGCGGCTGCCATTCCTGGAACTCTGCGTCCCTGCGTGGGGACCCCGTTTCCTTTCGGCGTCAGTCTCCTGGGGATCTTTCCGGAACCCTCTTGCAGGTGCATGTGCTGGTGATAAATTCAGTTTGTGTTTCTGGAAAAATAAAGGGCTCTGTCTTACCTTGGTCGTTGGAAGATGCTGTAGGCAGGTACAGAATTTTAGGTTGGCAGCTTTTTGCTTTTGTAATTTAAATATGTTGCGCTGTCGTCTTCTTGCTCCTGATGAGAAATCTCTCATCTTGTCATTTTTCTTCTGCATGTAAAACGTCACTTTTCTCTGGCCACTTATAAGCATTCCCTGTCTGTCACTGGTTTGGCCAATTTGGTCTTTCCTAGTTTAGGAAAGACTCATTAAGCTTCTTAGATTTATGGTTTTCATCAAATTTGAAAAAAAATGCTTGACCATTATTTCTTCAAATGTATTTCTTACCCCCCTCTCTGCCCTCCTTCAAGGACTCCAATTTCACATGTTAGGTGCTTGAGTTGTCTCATACCTCACTGATGCTCTTTTCACTTAAAAAAAAAACCACCCTGAATTCCTTTTTTCCCTATATGTTTCCTTTCAGAGAGTTTCTATGTCTTCAATTCCATGAATGTTTTCTTCTGCAATGTGTAATCTGCCATTAATCCACCCAGTGTGTTTTTCATTTCAGACATTACAGTTTTCATCTCTAGAAGTTTGATTTGTCCTTTTTATATCTTCCACATCTTTACTGAACTGTTTAAACATAGGGGATACAGTTACGGTAACTTTTAATTTCTTTGTCTGCTAATTCTAACATCTGCGCCACTTTGGGGTTGGCTTTGATTGACTTACTTTTCTCCTCCATGCGGGTCATATTTTTTTGTTTCTTTGCTCGCCCGGAATCTTTGACTGGTTGCCAGATATTGTGAATTTCATTTTGATGGGTGCTGGGTGCGTTTGTATTTCTGCAAATGTTCTTGAGCTTTGTTCTAAGATGCAATTGGGTTTCTTGATCCTCTTGGGTCTTGCATTTAAGATTTGTTAGGCGGGAGCAGAGCTTCCTGTTACCCAGGGCACTTACTGCCCACGACCGAGGCAAGTGCTGAGTGCTCTACCTGGTGCCTGCCAAGGTGTCCAGTTTGGCTGGTAGGAACAGGCGCCGCCCCAAGACCTACGTGAGAGGCTCTCATGCTTTAAGGCCAATTTTTTTCTCAGTCCCTGGCAGTTTCCTCGCACATACCCGCTGGTCAGATGCGGGTGGGCTCTGCATCTCTCTGGAGCTCTGCCCTGCAAAATGCGGTTGCACTGGTCTCCCCAGACTCTCACGGGGTCCGAGGGGCTCTGCCTGGGTCCCCCTCCCTGTGCTGTGGTCTGAAAACCCACAGCTGTAAATTGGGCTACCGCAGGGCTCACCCCGTTCCTTTGCCATCCCACTGAGCTCACCGTCCTTCATGGCCCCCAGCGTTTTGGAAGCTGCTGTTTCATATATGTGGTCTGGGTTTTGCTTGTTTCGTTTCAGGTGGGAGGGTAAGTCTGGTCTCTGCTCTGCCTTGGCCAGAGGGAAGCGGCAGGTCTTCGGTTGCAGTGTGGCTCTCTCTGTCCCCACTAGCCCTGCCTTCCTCATCTCAGTGCCCCAGTGCTCCAAACAGGCACAGAGGCATGTGGATTACGGGGACAGGCGGGTAAATGAACTCAACTGGGGAGTAAGAAAGGAAGGTGAAGGCGTTTTTCACGAGCCTAAGGACTGTCACTTTATCTTCATTTTTTTTGAGACAGAGTCTCACTCTGTCACCCAGGCTAGAGTGCCATGGTGTCAGCCTAGCTCACACCAACCTCAAACTCCGGGGCTCAAGAGATCCTCCTGCCTCAGCCTCCCGAGTAGCTGGGACTACAGGCATGCGCCACCATGCCCGGCTAATTTTTTTTCTATATAATTTTAGTTGGCCCATTAATTTATTTCTATTTTTAGTGGAGACGGGGTCTCGCTCTTGCTCAGAGCTGGTTTGGAACTCCTGACCTCGAGGGATCTGCCCGCCTCAGCTGGGAGTGCTGGGGTTACAGGCGTGAGCCGCCGCGCCCGGCCTTCTATCTTCTACACTCACCTGTGCGTGAGTCTTGTTTCTCACAGGTGATCGTCTCAACGCCAAGGAACCTGTTGGATTCATTCCTGTGACACCCTTAAGGCTTTGACAACTCTGTCCTGCGTACCACAGGCTTTCGATAACTGTGTGTGGGAATAATATTCATTATATATTATTATCAAGTATAATAATATTCATTCATTATACCGAATGAATAATTCAGTAGCCGTTTACACATGTGTACAACCAAGTTGGTTGAAATAATTATTTGCCCGTGACCCCAGCGGCACCAGGTCTCCGCTCTCTGGTCTAGCGCGGTGCTGCCAGCCACTGGTGGCTCCCAGGACGAAGGGGTGGCTGAAAGATGCCCGGTCCATGGCAGCACTTCCCACGTGACAGCTCGGTCCTTTCGAGGTTTCCAGCTCACTATAGGACAGAAAACGCGGGGGGCAGAGGAAGTTCAAGCTGCCATTGAAAATCAGTCACCAACAAAGTCACCAGGTAAGTTAACTGGACAACAAAGCGAGTCTTCACCAGTGCGGGCCCAGGGCGGTGTCTGCTCACTGCCTCGCCCTCACTCCGGGCTGGGCGGTCCCCGCAGGCGCGGCCCTTTCAGGATGGGCTCTTGCCGGGAGGGCGGCTCAGCCACCGGAGGGGACGAAGCGTTCAAAGCAGCACGCGTCCGGGGTCTAACGGCGCAGGTGTCGGCCAGCAAGGAGCCGAAGCGCAGGACGCAGGTGAGCGGCCCCCGGCGGGTGTCTGTGCTGTCGGGGTGGTGGACGGAGGGCTGGCATGCAGGGCACGGGCAACGTCTCTGGCCGGGCCGGAGCAGAGGCCTCGAGGACAGAGGACGGAATGTTCCGGAAAGGAGCTTTCCCACTTTTCTCCCTTTCAGAATGGTTCTGCCTGTTTTCAATCGGCAACGGCATCGGTCCCCCAGCTCAGCATCGCAGACACAGCCGTGGGTCCCACTGCCTCAAGGGAATCAAGCTGCTGGCGGCACAGTGAGTCAGATGGGGCCCGGCCACCCGGCCACCCGGCCACCTGGCCACCCCGCCACCCCGCCACCCCGCTACCTGGCCACCCTGCCACCCCGCCACCCCGCCACCCCGCTACCCGGCCACTCTGCCACCCCGCCACCCCGCTACCCGGCCACTCTGCCACCCGGCCACTGACTTCCCAGCTTGAGCTTCTGAAACTCACCAGCCTGAGCCTGGGCTGCAGGTGCCACCTGCAGTGCGCCAAGCTTGCTTTCCAAACCCTGTGCCTCCTCACCTGGGTCACTGCGGTGTGACCAGCACCTGGCTCTGCAGCATTCCAGCCAGTTTCGCCGTTCGATGGGCTCTACTCGGTGATTACAGAATGTTCTGTTCGGGGACAGTCTCGCTCTTTCAGCTGCCTCCGTAGGTGTGCTCGGCCCCTGGAAGGAGATGTGGGGGCACGACGACGCCCCCAGGGAAGGACCCTGCAGGACGCCAGGAAAGCACAATCCCTGAGGTTGCAGCCGCCTGCGCTCACCCAGCCTGCCCACACAATCTGCTGCGTGCATCGCCCCCTGGTGGCCGCGCGGCAGACGCAGAACTTCAAAGGCGGGTCAGGATTCGGCTCTGCACACGGAAAACACGTTAGGATTCAGCTCTGCACACGGAAAACAGGTTCCCGTTAGGAGAAGCGTTGCCGGTAGTCCCTTTCTCCACGTGTGAGCACACAGACCACGGTGCGCAAGCGAGACCTTACATCCGGACTGTTCTCGCCTGTCCTAAGGAAACAACAGGAACATTATATATATATATATGTATTTTATCTCTCTATATATAGATTATATATATTTATATATGTAAAATATATATTATATATAATATATATGTATATATGTATATAAAATAATATATATATTTTAATCTCAGAACTGTAGACGGGGATTCCAAAATCACGTGAAGCCCAAGCTGGAAAGAATCTCTGAGTTGACCTTGCTCGAATCCCCCCTTCTGTAAAGACTGGGGGAGACTGGAGCCCAGAGACCTGGGGTGACTGGCCCCAGGTCACACAGCAGACTGCTGCAGTCTGGGGAGCAGAGCCCGCGGGGACGGGACGAGGCTCCGGCGACCTCACGGCCCGGCCTCTCACCGTCCCGTCTGGAGACCGGCCGACAGTGAGGCGGCAGGGAGGGCCTCGCAGGGAGCCCTGGGAGCCGGGCGCTGGTGCCGGTGCCCTCGGCGGTGGGCGGTGGGCCGCGTGTGTCTGCGCCGCCCCTCTTCCTGAGCGGGGACCAGGCCAGGCCAGCGAGAGAGGCTGGGAGGGACGGGGGCCAGCCTCGCTTCTCCTCCTGGCTTCCCCGGTCAAGTGCGCCAGCGGTGGCTGCTCTGTGGCCGTGTGACCCGGTCCCTGGGCTTTACTTTTATTTTAATTTGGAGCAAAAATTGCTATTTCTTTTCTTTCTTTCTTTCTTTCTTGACAGAGTCTCACTTTGTTGCCCGGGCTAGAGTGCCGTGGCGTCAGCCTAGCTCACAGCAACCTCAAACTCCTGGGCTCAAGCAATCCTCCTGCCTCAGCCTCCCGAGTAGCTGGGACTACAGGCATGCGCCACCATGCCCGGCTAATTTTTTGTATATATATTTTTAGTTGGTCAAATAATTTATTTCTATTTTTAGTAGAGATGGGGTTTTGCTCAGGCTGGTTTTGAACTCCTGACCTCTATCAATCTGCCCGCCTCGGCCTCCCAGAGTGCTAGGATTACAGGCGTGAGCCACCGCGCCCAGCCCCCCCCCCTTTTTTTTATTGTGGAAGATAGATAACAGAAAATTTGCCGTGTTAGCCACGCCTAGGCGGGCGGTGCAGCGGCATTAAGGGCTTAGACACGTTCACTTGCTGTGAGCCACCGCCACCGTCCACCTGCAGGACGTGCTTCCTCCCGCACGGAAACTCTGTCCCGCCGAATGCGAAGCCCATCCCCCCTCCCCAGCCCAGGCGTCGCTGTTCTACCTTCGACTCTGTGAATTTGACTCCTCCAGGGGCCTCGTGGAAGTGGGATCGTGCAGCGTTTTCCTTTCCGTGGGTGGCTTGTTCCACTTAGCTTACCGTGCCCGCATGCCCTCCGTGTGCCGGAGTCGCCTTCCTCTTTCAGGCTGAATAATATTCCACGGCACGCACGCACACCTTGCTCAACCGTCATCGGTGGAGGGACACTCGGGTGTTTCCACGGTCCACGCGGCTTTCCCGAGTCCCGGCAGAGGGAGCCGTCCCCTCTGGGGACGGAGGGATGGAGGGGAGCCAGGTGAGGAAGGGTAGGGGACACTCATACCGTGAGCAGGCCCATGTCCACTCGGAAGAGGGCCTCTCGGGCAGCCTGTGGCTGTCATTTGGGGTCACAGTGTCCTGGGCACCCTCCTTGCCGCAGGGCTCTCCTGACCTGCGCCCTGGCTGGACGGGCCGCAGCTGGGATCAGACGCTGTTTGAACTTTGGGACTGTGTTCAGAAGGATCAGGAGCCTGGACATCACAGTGTCCTTTCAGCTGCTCTGCAAACACGGGAAACGTGATGGTTTGCTGAAAAGTCAGTTCTCAAATCCGCAGTTTCCAAATGCACCAGGCGGAAATCTGGTTAGCGCGAGAGCAGGTGATCCCTAGGACGTCCCGCAAAGTCCCCACGAGGGGAGGGGGCTGCAGGAGCCCGTGGGGACGGAGCTGCAGGAGCCAGGGCCGGGAGAGCCCTGCCTGCCTCGAGCCAGCCGCTCTGTCACTCCGCACTGTTTTAACTCTCTTTAGAAACAGAAACCAGAAACACTGTCCGTAACTACTCGCCCTCATTTTCAGCCCGTCTCCAAAACCCGTCTTTTGCCCCTCAGCCCACCTTCCCGGCGAGGAACGTGACGGCAAAGAGGGGACTTCTGGAAATCTCTGAAGTGGATTACTGGTTATAATTAGTGCCAGAGAAGAGACCCGTAAAAATCCCTCCCGGCGGCGGCTGTTGCTTTCTGTTTGCGCACCACTGGGCTCTAGAAGCTTCCCTGATACTAAAACTCTCGTCCATAGCAGCATCACCCAAGCCAGGCCACTGCCCCAAACCGTAATTACACGGAGACAAGTTAAATAGAATGAAGCCGTGCCTGCAACCCTTTCACGTTTCCTTGCTCCTAGCAAACGTCCTTTTTGGAGCCCTACAACAGAATCGCCATCTTCCATCACGCTAGGCCGTACCCTTCTAGATTGTCGGAAGTTTGGGGAGCCCCAGGTAGAGGGTCCCTTACTGAGCACCCTCTGTCCGGGCGACGGGAGAGGCCCCGTCCCGGGCAGCCGCGAGCGAGCCGGGAGCCCAGGCCCGGCTCCCAGGCGGGATGGGAGCCCCGAGTCCACGGGGCTGTCCTGCCCTCCAGCCAGCACCGCCAGCTCCAGGCCCCCCAAACCCCACAGCCAAGCCCAAAGAGGTTACCTAGAGTTCAGTCCACCTCCTCAAATAGCAGCTAAGTGAAATGACGAAAAGTTACGTGGAGTAAAATCCTCAACAATGAAACACGAAGCTGTTATTCTCTTTTTATGAACGCCAGTAAATTGCTTCAGAAAATGAAAGTGCCGTAAAAGAAATGCTTCCACTGGGAGCTGGGGTGCCCCGCGCGAACGGCCACGTAGAGATCTTCTGCGTGAAGAAGCTTTACAGCTTTGAATGCGTTGTAAGCCATACCCTCCGTTAATTAGAACAAGATTTCTTTTTCAACAAACTTCCAGTTTTTCCTGTCTAAATGGCATTCTTCTTAAGTCTTTTAAAACTAATTTTCAAAACTGAAAATGTATCCTCGTAGCAATTCCACAATTTCTAATAAACTTGATATAGACCATTTTGTAGTTAATGGAACTCTTTTCTTTTTTTTAAATTACTTTTTAATTTTCGCTTATTGGAGCACTTAGGAAGCTGCAGATTGCTAAATGGAAGCTTAAACGAATTTGTCCTTTATAGAAGTTAAGAAGACGCAAAGCCTTACCAATCAATTTCACATTTAATTAAAAATAAAAACTAATTTTAAATGATGTAGGAAAAGATACTATTTAAATCACACAACTTTCCTTTTTTGCTGTGGCTGGATGAGGCTTGAATATTCTAAACTCTTAAATGCAGCTATTAAAATAAGTAAAACCTCTGAGTAAAATATAGGCAAATCCAATGTCATCCTGGGTATACTTTTATTTTCATTATCAAGGGTCTTTTCCTCTTTAAAAAAAGCAAATCTTAGCCTTATGGAAGGCTCTCTTTACACCTCATATTTTAGTAGGAATATTGGTAAATCTGAGTGTACCTTCTTGAAAAGTCTTCCTCAGAGGAAGAAAGGAGATGGTGTTAAATTCTACCTTCCCATTCTTACGGCAGCATTTCTGACCCAGCACGGTGACATTGTTGATGGAAATATCTACACCAGTCCTCCGGGTTTTCCTGTATTTGCCTAGATAACAGAGAAAGACAAAAGTCTGTTCCATCTGCAATTTTTTAAAGTTATAAAACTTTTTTAAAAATCTGCATAAAATTAGCAACAGAAATAGTATTGTCTGCCTCCAAACATTTCTAGAATGAAGAATGATTTCTCTTCTCCATAGAAATCATCGAAACGTGTAATTTTACGCAACCTTTTGCCCATATTTATGGACAGTTATACAAACACGCTCATTGCAAAGTAGAACGTTTTTTCTAACATGCATGCCCCCAGTGTTTAAACAATGAGTGCGTTTGGCCCGCCAACTTATTATATAATGAAGACTTTACAAAAAAAAAAAAAGAATCAGGCTTGGGATTCTGGGTTCTTTTCTGAGCCTTGTGTGGCAAGTGTAGCTTATAATTAGAAAACAATATAGCGGGAGTGGAAAGTTTGGTGAAGCTAATCCAATGCAGTGCTCCACTTGGCGTTCCTTGCTTAGGAGGACAAAGGCACGTGCTCCACCACGCCCAGACTGGCCTCTGCGTGCGAGTAGCCCTGGATGCTGGGAGAGCACTGGTGCCCCGGCGTCCGGGCGGGAGG